ATTCTATTTTCCAGATTGTTCAAGGTACTCCACAGCTCCACCTATAACTCTGTATGTATTATATTATGTTTTTAGCGGTGTAAGGGATACCACTCTTTTAGGTGTTTTAGAGCTACTTATTTGTCTTTCACAGCGTGTATATTATTATTCTGTACTATTGTATTCACTTTATCCCTATTACACGACAGTGAAAACTTATTTACCAATATGGCTCTACATGAATGTAGAGATTATTCTACAAGCAACATAGACTTAATGTTTGTATGTAAAGACAATCCGACAAATGTAACAAATTACAAAGATGCCGATCAATGTAAATATAATTTGGAAAAAACATTAATTAAAGAAATGAAGACCAAATGGGAAGTAGCGACCCTAAAAAAATATGTAAGGGAGGGAATTACCCCTAGAGGTCTTAGATACTACAAAAATCCCACTTTCGACAGAGAAGATGAAGGTTTTATCACAGGTTGGAATAAAATGTTAGAAGGCTTCGCATTCAGCACTATAGGCTATATTGTATCTAGAAGAGAAGACACTCTATTACAACTAGATAAAGAAATTAAAGACTGGAAAGAAAAAATCAGCAATACCATGAATCCTGAGTTATATAACCAAATATTAAAAGACATCAATGAAAAAGTAGAAAAAATAGAGAGAGAAGTTATTGAGACAAAAAAGAAAAAATATCTCAGAGATGTAAATGACTATAAAGTAGAAGGTATTAATCCCTCAAGTAAATTCAAAACATACCCTAACCAAAGAGAGAAAGATACTTATAGAAAACAGGACAAAAAACACCATTCTAGAAGGCAAAATAGTCCACAACACAGACCAGAGCAAGATATAAGGCGACACAAAAATACAATAGAATATCACAATACACCGTCTAAACATTATCCAAGATATAATAAGTATCACGATATCTCAAGAAAGGAATATCAGAGATACGATAACTTTAATAAACACCCAAGGGGTAATACTAAGCCATACCACCCATCCCCAGTAAGACGACCTAAATACAGCAGCTACAGTCAAGCTGTACAGTCAAATATTCCTGAAAGAAATGACCGAAAATCAGTACCCACAACATATGTGTCAAATAGAACAGAGAGACAACCACACACCTCTAGGGTAGATATAGGTAATAAACCAGACATATTTAGAACAGAACATTCACCTTCTTTTTTATGGAAGGACCCAATCTCAGAGAGACTAAAACAATCCCGACATATCAAAATTTGGGAGTCCCCAGGCAAACGTCAGAGGTCATCAACTCAAGAAAGAGACATAGAAAGAGAGGAAAACACACACAGAGAAAAGAGGGGGAGAAAATAACAACAGAAGGAATTTTTAATTTAACTGATACACAATTACCCAAAGAACAAATGGAGATACTCCAAAAAGGTTTAAAATTCGCCCCCACAGTCGACATTAATAAATTTGATTTTTATATTGATATTAATAAATTTATTAGACAATTATGCTTAAAGAAATTCTTTTTTAATAAAGAGGACAGACCCAGTGAAAACACTTTGTCAGAATATATACATACGGACTTAAAAGCTAAATCCAACTTTTTTCCGAAACACTTAATATCAGATGAAATAAAAGCTTTTGAACTAATGGTAATGAAAGAAGTGAAACAAATAAAGCCGTTAAACAAATACCATCAAAATATGTCTAGAAAGGAAAGGGGAGCAATGAAAGACTTACAACAAAACAAAGAGATAGTAATTAAACCAGCTGATAAAGGTGGGGGGGTGGTGGTCATTCCAAAAAACAAATATCTTTTAGAAGCTGAGCGAATACTTGCAGATCGAGATACATATATAATACTAGACAAAAATCCAACTGAAATGGTGAAGACGAAGTTTGACAATTATATATCTAAAGGACTAGAGAATGGCATTCTGACTTCGCAGGAAGCTAAATACCTTACCACTCCCCACCCAATAATGCCCGTATATTACCATCTCCCTAAAATACATAAAAACAAAGCCAACCCCCCAGGACGACCTATAATATCGGGAGTCAACTCCGTTTCAGCAAAAATCTCGGAATATCTAGACCATCTCCTACAACCATTAGTTGTTCAAAATCCAGCTTATTTGAAGGACACGATTCATATTCTACAAATCTTAGAAACCACTTTATGGCAAGAAGGTAACCTGTTAGTCACATGTGATGTGACATCCCTATATAGTATCATACCACACGAGAAGGGTCTAGAAGCAGTAGAATATTTTTTAAAGAAACACAGTTTTAAGAATGAACAAATTTTATTCATTTTAGAAGGGATCAATCTAGTTTTAACCAATAACTTTTTCTGGTTCAATGAGACGTTCTATTTACAGATCAGAGGTACGGCGATGGGTACCAAGTTCGCCCCTAGCTATGCCAACCTCTTCATGGCATACTGGGAAGAACAGTTTATTTATCAAGGGCACCCATGGGGGGCGAGCTTGGTATCCTACCGCCGGTATATAGATGATATATTTTTTGTTTGGACAGCATCCCACACAGATCTACTATCTTTTATCAGTCATTTGAATAACAATCAGTGGAATATTATTTTAACAGCACAAACTAGCACCCAACAAATTAATTTTTTAGATTTGGAGATATTTATTACACATGGCACTATTACTACCAAGAATCATTTTAAAGATGTAGATGCCAACAGCTACATCAGAAGAGAGAGTTGTCACTACCTTCCTTGGTTAAGTAACGCTCCGAAAGGACAATTCCTACGTATAAGAAGGAATTGTACGAATGAACAAGACTTTTTAGAGCAAGCAAATAAGATTAAAGTACAATTTCTGGAAAAAGGTTATGACGATGTTTCCCTCCAATTAGCCATAAATGAGGTTCAAGAAATACAAAGAACAGACCTTCTAAAATATAAACAGAAAAAGAAAGATTTAATTAAGAAACAAGACATCCCCTTCATATGCAACTACCATGGCAACAGTAGGAAAATGCATAAAATTATAGGAAAACATTGGCATATACTAAAAGATGACCCTATTCTTAAAAATATATTACCAGAAAAACCAAAAGTCATCTTTAGAGGTGTAAAAAACTTGAGAAACACTTTAGTTAAAAGTAGTAATAAAGAACAAACAGTAGGACAAACCTTCCTTACAATAGGTAAAGGATTTTATGGATGCGGACAGTGTCTAGCATGTAAAAATACAAAGAATAAAAAAAGACACCTAACAGACCTAGAATCCATTATTAACAAGAAATTTACCATTAGAGATCATCTAACATGCCATTCGAAGGGAGTGATCTATATTTTAAAATGTCCCTGCAATCTTCTATATGTAGGCCGTACAATTCGTAAATTGAATTTAAGAATAGCGGAACATATAAGAAACATCAAAAATGGAGTCGAAACCCATAGTGTTTCAAATCATTTTAAACATGTTCACCAACAAAATCCAGAAGGAATGTTTTTTTGTGCTTTAAAATTAGTAAAAAAAGATTGGAGAGGTGGTGATTATGTAAACAAATTAGGAAAGGAAGAGATGAAGTTCATATTCAATTTTGACACTATGATTCCAAACGGTCTGAACAATGATTTTGAATTATGCCACTTTATGCATTAGTTTTAGCCTATCTTGGTTTCATATTATTTTATGGAAGTTTTTAGGCATCTTTTTATACACTTATATACTATTTTTGTGTTTTTTTTACTATTGGGTATTATATGTATTTTATTCAGTTTTTACTGTGCATTTTTATAAATTTTCTAGAAATGACATTCTGCCCCTTTAAGATTGTGATAGCAATCTTCTAAAACTAATAGAATTAGTTTTTATTCCTTCTCATTAAATTTGATTTTTACTCTTTTCCATATTATCTGACTTTTTATATTATTTTTATTTAAAACATAGCACTTATAATTCTATATGTCACACTCTATTGGTGTAAATATAGGCAGAACGCCATTTTTTATGTTTGCATTTGGCCACCTGATGTGAGGCTGGGAGTGGAGCGCACGTGCGTTCCACCTGAGTGTGACCCGGAAGTAGAGAGAGACCCGGAAGTGAATTTGCTGCTTGAAGTTGGAACGCACGTGCGTTCCACTTGTGGTGCATTGCGGAGGTTGGCGCCGGGTTGGAGCGCACGGACGCTCCACCCGGAAGTTGGTGCTGAAGTTCCGGTGTGCGCACGGGGTTGGGGCGCACGTGCGTTCCACTTGCGGTGCGTCCCGGAAGTTGGTGCCGTAGGTGGAGCGCACGTTGCGTTCCACCAGACGGAATCAGGAAGTGCCATATAAAAGAAGACACAGCCGGCCGGCGGCATTTTCAAACAAAGAAAACTTTGGAAGAAACATTAGAGCCAACTGAGGAAGCCTGTTAATCAGGCGAAACGCGTTTTGGACACTCATTTTCAACTTTGATAGACTTTTTATTGGACTATATCTACACCCAATATATATTGGTTTAGTATATTGCCATTTTATTATTTTATCTACAAATAAACAAGAATTATTTTCCAAGATCCCTGGCATACTGAGTATCTTTATTGAAGACCATCAGGAGAAATAACAAGCAATCAACAAAAGAAGGGTTTGGACATCCCCCTAATGGTCCAAGAGAACATACTTTAAGAGTCATATGACGGTATGACTCCATCCTTGTGAGTGCTTTTATTCTCATTTTTATATGCTATATATTGTATAGACATACTACGCTATTTGCATATATTCTATTTTCCAGATTGTTCAAGGTATTCCACAGCTCCACCTATAACTCTGTATGTATTATAAATATATGTATGCCTATTATATTTACACAGTATGGGGCTGGTAAATAATTTCCAGTCCGGCCCTGCCCTCATGCCTCCATAAATATAGCACAATCTTACTGTATTCAAGCCTGAAGCTGTAGATCTGCATGCTGTTTGCCTCAGAAAAACAAGCTGTCTGCTGACAACATCAGAAGTGGTAGCCTGATCCAATCACAAATGTTTCCCCATAGAATTTGCTGAGACTGACAAAGAGGCAGATCAGGGGCAGAGCCAGCATGATTCAAACACAGCCCTGGCCAATCAGCATCTCCTTATAGAGATGATTTGAATCAATGAATCTCTATGAGGAAAGTTCAGCGTCTGCATGCAGAGGGAGGAGATACTGAATGTTTAGATGCATTTTAGGCAGCCATCACCTAGGAAGGATCTCTAACAGCCATCTGAGGAGTGGCCAGTGAAGTTATAACTAGGCTGTAGTGTAGACACTGCTTTTTCTCTGAAAAGACAGTGTTTACAGCAAAAGGCCTGAATGTAATGATTCTACACACCAGTACATATTCAATAAGCTGTAGTTGTTCTAGTGACTATAGTGTCCCTTTAACTTTTCCTTTATGACTGCCAAACTGCTTTCTGTGCCACTGCCCAGGGCCAGACTGGCCTACCGGGATACCGGGAAATTTCCCGGTAGGCCGCCAGCCCTGGGGCCGCTTTGACATGACCTAAAAAAAAAAAATTCTGTTCGCCGATGCGGCCGGCGCAGCCACATCCGGCTGCTTCCTGTGCGAGTGCACAGATACTTCCTGTCAGCCGCCGCATGTGAGCGGCAAATGACGACATGACGTCACATCCGGCGGCTGCGCGGCGGCCGTACCTACTCTGATTAGATCGCGGCCTCTCTTCCCTCCTGCAACATTGAGCAGTTGGAAAGGTAAGAATAAAGGGGCTTGGGGGATCTATTGTATTGGGGGAGGGTCAGTAATGTATTGTATTGGGGAGGGGAGGGGGGTCAGTAATGTATTGGGGAGAGGTGGAGGGGGGGTCAGTAATGTTTGAGGAGGGAAGGGAGGGGGCTCAGTAATGTATTGGGGAGAGGAGGGGAGGGGGCAGCAATGCATTGGGGTGGGTCAGTAATTTGGGGAGGGGAGGGTAGGGGAGGGGGGGCAATGTATTGGGGGGGAGGGAGGGGAGGCGTGGCCATTTATTGGGGAGGAGGGGGGGTCAGTAATGTATTGGGAGGGGGGTCAGTAATGTATTGGGGAGGGGAGAGGGGTCAGTAAATGTATTGGGAGAGGAGGAGGGGGGGTCAGTAATGCTTTGAGGAGGGAAGGAGGGGGGCCAGACATACTCCCCAATACAGTAATGTATTGGGGAGGGGAGGGGGTAGTAATGTATTGGGGGAGGAGAGGGGAGGGGGGTGACAGCAGTATATTAGGGGAGGGAGGTCAGCAGTGTATTAGGGGGAGGGGAGGCCAGTGTGTCTGTGTGTGACTGTCTGTGAGTGTGTGTGTGTGACTGTCTGTGTGTGTGTGTGACTGTCTGTGTGTGTGTGTGACTGTCTGTGTGTGTGTCTGTGTGTG